TGACCTCAATATTCATCCCAAATTGAAGAAAAGTTTTAAAACACTCTAAAAGGTCTCTATAAATGTCAGTAAAGACCAAACAGGTACCAGGAAATAAGCAGCAGAAGCTCCTGGCAGGTGTTGGCTCCTACTTGACCCTGCTCTACAATATTCATTGTCCAACAGGTGTAACGAGAAGTGCCCAGTGGCACCTCCAGGGTGCAGGAGGCACATCCCAGCCCACCTCCCACACCAGCACTCACAGATGCTCCCAGACACACTCACACAGGGATGGAGCCTTAGCAGGCTCCCCTTGTGACAACTGCAAATGCTCCAAGTGCCAGCACACAGAGGAAAAGGCAGGAGGTCATTGATGGGGGCACATCCCTCCACAGCTCCATGGAAATCTATTTCAGCACTGCCCGTGGCTGTGCAGGGTCTGACAAGGTCTGCAGTGTTTTAGGAATGTCAGAAGGTTGAACAGGACAAGTGAGAAGATGCAAAGGCTGTCAGGTTATTTCTGACCAAAACCCATTTACAAGCACTACAGCTATTTATAAGTACGTAAAAATAACGTGAACTTAACCTTACATTTACATTCTTGTTTAGTTATATTATGCTCCTCTGAAAAAAGATTTAAATATGATTACTGGTCCATTACTGAGTTTGAAAAGCCTTGGGGAACAGTAGAGAACACATACAGCCATCTGAAATCTGCTCACGCAGATGCGTGAAAATCAAAGACAAAACTTGCTGAGGTAACAAAAATGTCTTAATTCAATTTGTAATGCAGCAGCACAATCCCTGCGTAACAACATTACATTTGTCTAAGAATATGGGCTTAAATATCCTCTTTGTTGAGGTAGTTCCCACGTGCTCCCTGTGTTCCAGGCAAGCAGACAGTAGGTGAGCAAAATATAAAGAGCTGCAAGTTTCAGCTGGCCAGGAACGACTCATGCCAGACAGTGACAGATCTGTTGGGATGGGAACATCTGCTGCTACTGCTGAGGATACCAGGAATGCTTGGACCAAATCTATCCTATAAAAGGTTGGCAGATCTATGCCACAAGTCAGGCCAAACTTACTAGTGCAAGCATGGTTTGCTCAGGGAAAAGCCCTCTCATGCCACTGTAATTTACACCAAGCTCTCAAACGAAATAAATTAAACCAGGGCAATGGATCTACACTAAGGCAATTGCCAGGACAGAGAGTGCTACCAAAAAAAGGGCAGGTTTCTGGCTGATTTGTTTCAGAAGAGAAAACCAAAAGCTAACCTGGCTTGAATATAACCACTCTGGGATGCACAGCAGCATCACCCTGAGCCAAACCACACTTTGTCCTGCGGCGGTTTCTTCCTGAGGAACCCTCCTTTTCTCAGGCTCAGGAACATACCACAAGATGTTAGAGATATGCAGGGAGACTTCTGTGCTTTGTACATGGCAGGATTTGCTCCAGGGGCACACAGAGGGATTAGATGAACCTTTACATATAAAGGAATTCTGTAGGAATTCACACAACCACCCCAGACCTCACTGGCCTGAGAGAGCTACAAACCACTTGGTATTAAGCAGTTGAGGCAAAACCTCAAGAATGAAACTACCACAAAAACTAAAATTCTTACTGGCCCCACAGGCTGAAAATTTTAAAATTAAACAGGGTTTTTTTTTATTTTTCTGTACTTGCAGAAGCCACCCTATGCATCAGACAGGCAGGTGGGGCCCATGACACCAATAACACTTCCAGTGTGTTTCTGTGCCCCTTCATGCCTTTTTCTCTCTCCCTGCTGAAGCTGCTATCTTTGAGCTGCATGGATAATCCAGTTGCCAAATAACTAGTGGGAAAACACATCACTATAATTTACAAGTGTCCTACTCATAACCAGTCAGCCAAACAGCTTCCATGCAAAACTCAAAAACAGGTAACGCTCCTCTCTCCGTGGCTGCACAAATCCTTCAGCACACACAGACTGCTCACACCCAACCACCCCCTCACAAAGTCCATGCCTACTTATTTTCCTACTCACACCCTAAACTAGGCACTCATGCAAACCCTATAGCTTCTGAACTCGCCCACCAACTTGCCCACAGCCACAGCACATAATGAGACAGCCAGACACTGAAAACACCACATCAACTCATACTTCCACTGCTTCACTTCAAGGTTCACATAAATGATTCTTTTTATTCCAAGTTTTACTTCTGAAAGTACTTAATGGATTTTTCTGAGCTTTATATTGGAATTTTTCAAATGAGAACAATCTGAATCAATTGGCATTTGGAGACTGTAACAGCCTGTGGTACCAGAGCTTTGGAATCAGCTACCCTTAAAATAAAGGGGCAGGAAATTCTTGTGTCTCCTGCAATAACTGTTTATATAGAGGCCTAAACTGATTTTCTTTGAAAAACCAACACTCAAAATAAATGGGAGCTGCACAGACTAGGCACAAGGTGGAGATTAACTTCAACTCCCAAAAAAGCCACTGTGTTTCCTTGGCCAGAAACACAATGCTCCAGCACTGGCAACCTACCTGACCAATCCTACCCAATGTGAAGACCAGCTGGACTAAGAGAGAGATCCTGGAGTGATAAAAAGAAGAGAGACAGGCAGCAAGTAAAAATTAGGCTCTGCAAAGGTAGGTAATAGAAATGTATTTCCTAATGTGCCATGCAAGAACTAGGTACTCGTATTTTTGCTTCTTTACATCTTGAAAGCCTGAGGAGAAGACATGAGTAAGCTTAAAAAAAAAAAAAAAACACCACAAAGCTCACACTTAATCATATTTATATATTAATGCATGTAACCTACTTTCACACATAGTTAATGAGTTCCTTCATGAGATTTGAACCTGAACAATTCTGAGTTTAAAAAAACCACAACTCTAATGACTACAAGTTTTGTTGCTAATGTAGTTGTGTCTGGAGCTCTTATTCCTCACTCACAATTAACCCATGTTTCCCCAGCACATTTTTCAGAGATTGACAAAATGCAAAACTTAAAGATGAAATTCTGTGAAAAGGCACTTCTCCATAGGATAACATACAGTATCTTTTAGTTAAGCATTTTCTTTCACAGTAAAAAAAATTGACATTTTCTGTAAACTCATCCTGCTGTAGCAGTAGAACAGCAGTTTTTCCAAGGACATGACCTCTTACCACCTATAGCAACTCTTCTGAAACCTAATGTCAGGCATATGGCCATCTAAAATATGATGCCCAATGACCTAAAAAGCATTCAGGCATTTTGAAGAGTATGAATCAATGGCTCATTTCTATTTCACATCTTTGATTTCTTTCACCACAGTCTTCCAAACCTGCTGCTCAAGACAAGCAGTGATGAAAAATTATTAGTAGCACATAGGCTCCACCATGTCCTTTTTGCAAATTCTTGATGATCTTCCTTCTATGTGCATTTTATTTCATATCTCAGCTCTGCTAGCTCAGATGATGCAGAGAACTGTTTACTTAAGTCTGTGCATGATCACTGCTATTTAAAAGTTATTCACCAGCCCCATATTCTATTTATTTTCAGTTTATTTTTGTACTTGAGAATGTTTACACTGTACTTCAATGGTCACCCAAAATAATGTATTGCCTAAAAGCAGATGATATGACACTGCAGAAGGTTGAATTTTTTCAGACTGTAGCATAAAGAATTCCCATCCTCACCTAGCAAAAAAATGCAAATTTTATGACAACTTCACAGGAAGCAGCAGCTGGAAGAAATGTCCAAACAGTACAAAAAGTCTGCTACAGAATTATGTTAATCCTGTGTTTAAATGGTACTGAAGGTCTGGTCCTACTTTACACATGAAGACAAAACAAATGCCTTTATTACTACAAATGAGTGGACTTAAAACCCTTTGAAATTAACCACTTGTATGTTTTGTTTACCTGCTCTGACATGCAGACATGTACCATAACACCTCGTGGAGGGTATATTCTTTTCACCTGCTGTCACTGGACTTGTCAGCACCGAGTGTGATGGGCTTCAGACTGGTGTCAGCAGGACTTCCCATGACCTGGGTTTCCCTGCACACACAGCCCAGGAGCTGCTGAAACCATGACTGTGCTAATGCAGCTCATCCTCCCCAGCACTCGCTGTCAGTGGCACAGTTCTGACTGCACATGCTGGTGACAGCCCTGCCAAGAGCTGCCAGCGATCCTGGCACCGCCAGGCTTTGTCCCTCTGGCAATTTCTGAGCGATGTTCTTAGATGTTGTGGGGGCACAAGCGATGTGGAGACAATCCTGTATTTTTATTTTTTCATTTAGAAGCCGGTGTACTTCAGAACCCATGACCACCACCTGGAGCCCTGTCTTGCTAAAAGACATTAAGGAGGAAAAAAATGATGCTGAAGTGCTGACTCGGTGCGGCCGAGGGACACACAGAGCCCAGCACCTCACAGTGCCCCTGGGATGCCGCCCCTCGGCCGGACACCTCCCTCACCATCCTCACACTTCACTCTTTAGGGGTTACTAGGTCCCACCAGGCGCCTGGCAGCAATGAAGTTGTTGGGGGGATTTTTCCCCTGCTGGGTGACACAGCCTCTCAGAGCTGGAAAAGCAGCGGTGTGATGCCGAGAACACGACAGCTCCTGCGGAGGGGCCCGGCGACACCGGCCGGAGGCAGGGAAGGAGGGAAGGAAGGAAGGAAGGAGGCGGCCCAGCAGCTGCTCCCACAGAACAGCTGGTGTTGGAAGGTAGTTTTGGAGATCACCCAGCCCAGCTCCTCTGCCCAGGCAAGAGCAGGGCAGGAGCTCCTACCTGGAGCAGGTGACACAGGAACGCGTCCAGCCGGGGTTTGGATGTCTCCGGAGAGGGAGACTCCACACCCTCCCTGAGCGCCCGGGCCAACTCCGGGCCGAGGCGCAGCCGGGGTCCGCAGACCCCCCCGCCGGCCTTCCCCGACTCCTCCGTCCTCACCCGCGGCGGATCCCGCTCCTTACATAACCCCGGCCCCGCTCCCCGCAGCGCGGCCCCTCCGAGCGGCCGCCCGGGGGCCGCGGGCCCGGCCGTACCTGATGTAGGGGCTGGCGGCCGCCAGGATGTTCTTCTGCACCGGGATCTCCTCGCCCTCCAGCACCAGGTGCGCGTCGCAGAACCGCGTCTCCTCCCGGAACGAGCTGAGCGCCCGCAGCAGCCGCGCCGGGTGCTGCGGGTCCGACACGGCGCTCGGGCCCGACATGGTGCTGCTGCCGCCGCCGAGCCGGGCCGGGCCGGGCCGGCTCAGTCCCTGCCCTCACACCATGGCTGAGCGCCCGCCCGCCGCTGACATCATCTCCCGGCATCATCTCCCCGCGCCGCCCCGCGGGGGCGGCCCGGCCCGGCGGCCTCGGGCACCGCGGCCCCTCCGCGGGCGGGGCGGGGACGGCCCGCGGAAATCTCGGCTTATGTCTCCCCATGGCTTTGGAATGTCACTAAAGGAGGTGCAGAGAAGGGAATGGAGCTGGGGAAGGGGCTGGAGCGCCAGGAGGGAGCTGGAGGGGCTCAGCCTGGAGGAAAGGAGGCTCAGGGGGAACATTCCGGCTCTGCTCAACTCCTGGCAGGAGGAGGGAGCCGCGGGGGGAGCAGACACTTGTCCAGGCAACGAGGGACAGGACAAGAGGAAATAGCCCTAAGCTGCGCCAGGAGAGGTTTAGGTTGGACATTCGGAGAAATTTCTACCCAGAAAGGGTGATCAGACATCGGAACGGGCTGCCCAGGGAGGTGGTGAAATCACCATCCGTGGAGATGCCCAAGGAAAAGACTGGAAGTGGCACTCCATGGTCTGAGTAACATGGTGGTGTTTGGTCATAGATTGGACTCAATGATCCCAGAGGTCTTTTCCAATCTAATTGATTCTGTGATCCCATAAAACTGGCCTTTTATTTATTTATTTGTTCCATAATATGAGCTGGAGGTGAATGTTACAGGTGTAGGTACAAGGAAAAGTAAGAGAATGATAATTAAATACAGCAAGATTCATTGTGGCAGTGTCCCTTTCCACAGCTGCCCACAGGAAATGTGGCCTTTTCCAGCAAAAAAAGATCTTCTTTAGGACAGTACACATGATAAATTTTAGGCTCTTGATTATCGTGCTTAATTGCACATTAAGAGATTACTTGACTCCATCTGCTTTCTTAACAGCATCCAACATTAAAGTAGTGAAACTATTTGCACTGAGTGAAAGTGTTTCACAAACTGTGATCTGCTCTAAAACAGATCTGCTCTAAAACAGACACCCAGTCAGCAGCTCCCTGTGCTCCCTGTGCTGACAGGCACTGGGATCTCCCAGCCTCTGGAACACCCAAATGGATGTCATGCTGCCCATTCCTTCACTGGGAAAACAACATTTTCAGAGGGTCTGATCTAGTAAAGCTGTGGTGGGTAACACGCTTTTATTACTTTTATTACTTGCATTTCAGTGAAATGTAACAAAATTCTATCATTCATTTGGTTTGATGGTGCCTCCAAATCATTTTTCCACTTGAAAAATGAAGCAGGGTATCTGGAAAGGACCCTGTAGGAAATGAATGCCTTCACAAAGGCAGCCTTGTTCTTTCCAAGCTGGACACAATGCTGGTTTGTTGTGCAGATGGAGACTGCAGCTGGGACATCCTCACACATCACCCATCCGTCCAAACCCTGCACCCAGGGCCTGGGTGAAGAGTGTGCTCAGCCCTGTTGGGGCCAGGGAAAATGCAGATACGTTTTGCCAAGTGACTGCAAGGCTCGTGGGGTTGTTTCATGACAGAGTTCATGAAAAAGTAGAGTCTTCTAATTGAGCTCAAACTGAAGAAAGAGATGAGTCTGGCCAAGGGCCAGTGTTTTCAGAATTGTTGATCAAAGATAAGCTTTATCACAGTTGGTCCCTAAAAAATAAATACTGCAATCTCAGACTAAAGCCAGGCTTTAGAGCTGAGCCCTTGCTGAAGTGCTCCCTGGCTGGAGAGGGGTCACAGTGAGGAGCACCATCCTGCAGCTCTGAGCAGGAGTTTTAGGAGCAGAGGATGTAGGAGAGAAGACCAAACCCCCAGCAATGTGCATGAAACACCAGTGGCTGTGCAACACCTGTTGTCGTACATGCCCATTTACAAATATTAGAAGGCCACGTTTTTCTTGCTTGGGTGTAATTATGCAGGATGTAGGTGTAGGCTGAGGATCCACAGGACACATTCTCAGCTCTCTTTGAGGGTAATGAAGGCAGAGAGCACACTGCTCCTTGGCTGCAGGGGAAAGATGTGTTTTGCTTGTCATTAATACTCAGGTAATTGCAGGCCCAAGGGAGCAGTGGTTTAAATTATTGTGAAAGCTGTCATTGAGTGGCCTGGTTATTTGAAAAGAAAGACACTGGTGTGTTTCCCTGGCACCTGCACAGATTGGTACAGAAGCAAACATTGTTGCATTTCTGGTTTTTAACCTGTCCTCGTAAACACTGTTTCTGCTTCCTCCTGCTGCCTATGTGGGGCAATGGGACAAGGTGTAACAGATAATATCCAGTTCCAGAGAACAAATTCATTGTTATACCTTGTTATTTGTTCCATTTAATGAAAGCATTAACAAAAAAAACCCCACCAAACCAAAACAACAACAAACCAAACCACTCTATCAAGGTCCATTTGTAGCACCTCTGAGGTAATTAATTATATGTATGCATACCTGGGGCCTGGTTCTCTCACTCAACTATGTATTTTTCCTTTAATGGAGATACTTATCTTTACTATTTTTTATTTGCACTCATCCATCTAGATTTGTGTTAAGCCATTATTATAATCATTCCATGAATTTTGTTGGGCTAATTTATGACTTAAATTGGTGCAAAAGAAGAATCAAACCTTTCTGGCCCTTGAGATTTCATTCATAGCAAAGGGTGTCAGAAGCAAACCAAATGACACTCATTACCACGTGCCATGTTACCACATCAAAAAAACCCCACGAGCCTTGCAGCCACTTGGCAAAGCATATCTGCATTTCCCCTTGCTTCTGTCAGCCTGGAAATGATAGTGTGTTACCATATTCAGGGCAAATGTTTCATCAGATTGGTATTGCAACCACTAAACACATTCTTGAACAAATTTGTGATTAGCTGTATGGTTTTATTCCTATTGTCTCTGCTACAGGAGGATACTGGGATTAGCAAATGCAGAATCATTTTACATCACTGTTTTTCTCCTCAGGTTAACGACAAACTCAATGCTAATCAAATCCTGTGTAGTACTGACCAAGGGAATAGGGCACATCTCGTTTGAAAAATCATACCCAAGACAAGTTCTTATCATTTATTTTCTGCATTATTTCTACATGAATGTAAATAACACATTTGCGTGCTTAGACTACAGGTTGTTTTTATGATGAGTGTGTCCCCTATCCTGTCATCTTTACCAGTAAAAATTATCTCCTCAGAAGTCAAGTAACTCCTGTATCCAAACCTATGATTATCCAAAAACAACCCTGTGAGTACTACAGAAGAAATTCTAGAGACAAACTCTTAGAAGAAAATCTGTAACAATGGTTAGACTTTTGATTGATTGCCACCTTTTAATTCTAGAAATATATTTGTGGACCTTTGTTAAATCCAAACTTTTTCATATGAAAAGAAACAACCCCAGAGCTGATGTCTTTTGCCAATATCACAAGTCAGTCTTCTTTTCTAGTACTGGTTCTATATTATTTACAAAAATGGAATTAAATTTCTTCTTTAGAAGATAAAGTTCTATTAAATACTAATGGTAATATGCCTTGGAAACACTAAAAGTGACTATTTCTGCAGACACACCTTACTGCTGAGGTGTTTATTTCCATTTTATGGAACATGTAAACATTTGAATGCCCAAACCTGCATATGTTAACTAGATCTGACCACAGTGTTTGGTTTTTTTTTACATTAAAAATAGCCTGAATATCTAGATCCTAACAAAGTGCAAAGACTTAAGCAGAGGAACAGAGGTCTGATTGTTACAGGAACTGTGGATGATGTTGGTTCAGTTCCTGCTCTGCCACAAACAGGTTAAGTAATCACAAAGAGTAATCACCAAGCACAGATTCTCATGTGGTGGGGAGGTAATAAATGACAATTTCATTCTGTTTCCTTCCTGTGAAACACTGTGAGCAGCACTGAGGGCACGTGTGTGTCAAAGTGAGAGGTACCTGAGCTGTGTGGTGATACAGACAGACCAGATGAACACCCAAAATGGATGGATGTGCACCTCCATCAGTAAAGATGCCTCCAACAGCAAAGATATCTACAATGAGAAAATAAAATTCAAAGCAAAAGAATCTCTCACTTAAAGAAAAGTCAATAACTCAAATCAGGAATACAGTGGCAGGGGAAGGGGTAAGAAATACAATTTCTGTAACACAACCAGTCACACTGTGCTTGGCACTTCACTTTGTGTTGAAATGTGCATTTTAATTGTGACTGTGAGTCAGAGTTGTGCACTTTTATTAGGAAGCATCTGGTACAGACAAGGATAAACACTTGTGAGAACATGGGTGCTCCTAAGCAGACATAAAGGAATGCTCATTTATGGCAATAACAGCTCCTAGTTTCAGCTGCTGTGGGGTTCAATGAGGCCTAAATTAGATCTTTCACTCTTTCCCTAAACTGTTTTTCACACATGTGTGTCTGAGTTCTGCTAGGAATACACTGCCCTCATTCACATACACACTGCTATTAACAGAGAATAGTGGCAATAGCAAACAATTCTTCTTGTCTTTTACACAATGTAATCATCTAATCACATGAAATGCCATGGCAGATATTCTGCCAAGGAAAACTGATTTAAATAATAAAATAAAAACTGCTTAATATTGAATGTCACTAAAGTATATTTGAATGCTACATATAACCATGTACTCCATTTCAATAAAGTTACTTGGTTTTGTCAACATACAAGCTAAAAATACACTATGACATTATTAGAAAAGCTGGAGGAAGGGGTTAGGTTCTGGATAAGAAAAATGTAGCACCTCAGGATAATACTTTGGTTATGGTAGAGTTTAAGAAATCAAGCACCAAGAGAATATATTGCCATGAATTATTGGTATCATGGTAGATAGTTTAACATGAGGTTTTCTGGCAGGAGACAACTTTCATTGTCAGCTGCAGTCTTGCAACAGCCCCTGGAAGTTACATGACCTGCAGACATGAGTGACTCATGCCATGTGTCACCCTATGAATACAGTACTTCATTTGCTCAGAAAGCT